AGCCGTGTTCGCAGCGGATACGGGCGGGAGGGGATGGCCGGTCCGGGCCGGGAGGGGTAGGCCTCAACGCGGGGGCTGGAGTCAGTAGGGCGGGGGGAGGGGTAGGGCGTGGCCGTGATGTGTCTACCCTTCTCGCTTGCCGTGCGTGTGCCACCTTTCTCGCCTTTCCCCCCCCCCCCCCCCCGCCCCCCCCCCCCCGCCCCTTGCTCGGACGTCTCTCGTCCCCTGAGCGTTCCACTGTCTATTAAAAGCAGGGTTAGGAAATTGGCGCCCGAGTTTGATAGCTCGATATTAACAGATAAGTGCACTGTGTATCGCAGATACACGACCACAGGTGGCATATTCGTGGCAGCGGTGTGCGAGTTTAGCGCGCGGAGAAAAAACAGGGCCAACACGTAACAACAGAACGCAACACCTGTGGTTAGGCGCTTTAAAAAAGAGTCGCCGGCAATAGAACCGATGCTAATACAATGCAACAAATAAATTGCTTGCGATTGAACTCGAGATTTAAACGCGCGTGTCGGATCTTTAAACTCTCACGACAGGCCTCGCCCGTGCAGAGTTCTTTGCACCGCTCCCGAGACACTATTGCCTCTGTTTTACAACACACCATCAATTCAGCCATGGTTTATTGAGAAAGGCAAATGAGAATGCGAATAGACCCGGGCGAAGTACGTGCATGACCGTATAACGAAAGCGACGGATGCGTTTGGGTGATAGAGTGCTTTAGTTATAGCAAAGCATCAATAAACTACAGCGGAGGATGGTGTTGACATATTTAATTCTCGCAATGAATCTATAAGCGATAACTACAGGCATACATGACCGGCGCGTCAACGACGTTTTCGCCGTGGGGAAAATATTGCTTTATCATCAGTTCTAGGATTTATGAGCGTGTGGGCCCCGAAGGGTCGAGATGGACGCGAGAGGGTGTCATTGGTGCCGTTCAACGCTTCATTTAAAAAAGTTTAGATTGCGTTTCTCTCTCTCGCGAACGACGTATACGATGGGCTCGCCGCGTGGTAACCCCGGAACGTGCGTCGGTATTTGCGTGTTCTTGCCATTGGAAAGGCAATGAGTGGAGATGGTCGACTTTAACTCGCGTGCACGGTGCCGCGAACGACGCACTGGCAAATGGTTAACCCCATTTTGAAAATATTAGTCCATGCGTACTACACTCAAAGTTAAAGCTGGGACACCTGCGCGTTACGTGAGCTCGGACAAACACAAACACGCGTTGTGTGGGCCATTCAGGGAGGGTGGGTGGTGCGAAACCCAAACCATCGCATATAATCCAATATGCGAGCGGCCTCCGACAACGACTGTGTTTTACACGGCTAACAGCACAGCGGACAATTGCTCGCACGAGACATATCGCCCTGAAGCATCGACGAGTTGCTGTACGGCTTCTGTTAGTGACGTTCAAGCGAGTCTTTTATTGATTGGTTGCAGATGTATGTGGACACGGAGGCCGCGTACCGTGGGCGGATCACCCGGAGACGTATACGACGGTAAGAGCGGATCTGCAATCGCGTCGGAAGGCTGTGAATCGTCTTGGATGAGTACAAGGTGAATGGTTGGCCGGCCACATTGTGTGTAGCGGAGCTGTAGAAAGCGCCGGGTGGACGAGAGAGAGGAGAGAGGAAGAAGTGACGCATGAATGAGGAGCAATTGAGGAAAGGAGTGAAAGGGGAGGAGTGTGTGTGTGGTGGTGTGTGTGTGTGGGGCGTGTGTGTGTGCTGTTGTGTGTGTGTGTGTGTGTGTGTGTGTGTTAGTGCGTGTCTCGGCGTGAGGAGAGAAGAGAGAGAGGAGCAGAGACAGCCCATAGAGAGGAGACAGGCGGTGCGCAGATAGTGGGAGAAGGAAAAAGAAAAGAAAAGAAGTATGAGCCCAAGGGTAAAGTCTCGCGCGGCGGGAGGCGGGATATAGACGGCAAGGATGAGCGCGAGAGCAGTCGCAAGATGCGGTCGCGGCTGAGCGCTGTACATATATATTATCTCATATAGATATATATACTATAACCTATATAGTTCCATGCTCTACTTCGAACAGTTCCAACGTGCACGTTCGTTGACGCCGAAGCGCTTTATCATCAAAGTCATAACACCATCAAACTGGCTGGCTAAAACGATCGCTCGCTCCAAATGCCTTTAGGATGTCAACAGGCTCGCTTCTGTGAAGAGAGATTACAACGACCTGGGCCGCTCGACCCAACTCGCATTCGCAAAGAGTTAACGCGAGACACTGACAGACCTAAAAATAGCGGCCGGTAGAACGCCGTGACGTCATCCCCGTCGTGACCTTCGCGCCCTCGCGACGCGTCATGGATGTACACATGGGGGTGTGTGGAACGCCGTGGGTGCACTCGACCGCTGTGATTGGAGTATTGACTGAGGTAGTGGACCAGCTGTTGGAGAAAGAAGTTGATCCTGGCGCTGGCTCGGACGCCTCCGAGGCGACAACAGCACAGCACCTACACCAGCACACGACCACAGCCACGCACACACACACAAACACTCACGGACGGACGACGACACGGACACAGCTACACACACTCGACATACTATACACACATCATACCAGCACAGTTAACGACAACACTTACATCACACAATAGTCTGTACACACACGGCATGCACACACACACACACACACACGAGCGACACGGACACAGCACAGCGAGCACACGAGCAGGCGACGGACGGAGCACACACACCACACACTAACCACACACACA